GTCGTTCATTTTATCAGAAGGTGCAGACGCACACCGGGAACTAGAGAGCAACTAGTGGGGTCTCAAGGACCACTACCTCTAGGTTAGTTCCTTCACTCCTCTCCATGTTTCTCTTGCCTATTTTTCTAGATAGAGATAGTGGATGTGTGTTGATTCTAAAAGGAGCCCATCACGTGGATGCGGGTGTGTTTGAGGACAGAATGTTATTGTTCTTTTTGATTTTGTGTGCTCATGTTGCCTAGTTATTAATTTTCTCACCAGATCAGAGAAGTTCAAGATTTGTGTGCATGGCAAATTTTTATGTCAAACTAAAATGCTTTTTTACCTTGGAAAACTAATAACTTTGCACATGGCAATATCACAACACCTTCTTAAAGAAATTTTTTAGATTGGCATGGCAACTTTTAGAATCCAATGACAATTTAATATACCATGGCAAATTGCTGTAGCACCACATGGCAATTTCTTATGCATTGATACAATGTTCAAATTAATATATCATGGCAATTTGTTGTAGCATCACTTGGTAAATTCATATGGGCTGAATATGCTACGGAATGGTTTTTGCCATGGCAAACTCCATGTATCATGCACACAATTGTTTTACAATTTCCATGATCTACACAATATCATTCTTTTTTTTCCATATGACCTTGCGACCTTTTCGGAATTAGTGTAGTCTTTTCCATGATCCTTGTTTGTACTTGCCACACGTCAATTTTAAAGATGCTTTTTTCAGGCCATGGAAAATTAACAATATTAGCCATATTACAACTTAAGTTGTTTTGCCATGGCAACTTTTAGATTTCTTTTTTCTACACAACATTTTTTAAAAGATGAATTATTTTCTGGCCATGGAAATTTTACTCTTTTAATCATGGCAAAGTTATATTTTCTGACCATGGCATTTTTATTGTTACACCCATGGCAAATTCATACTTCTCACCATGGCAAATTTATATAACATACCATGAAAACTCTTTTCTTCAATATAGCATGACAACTCTTTGTAGACCATGGCAATTTTTCTTTCTTTGCAACATGGCAAAAAATTACTTTTGTATGGGACCATGGCAATTTAAATTCTTGGGGGCATGGCAAATGTAGTTTATGGACCATGGCAATTTTCTTTTCTTTGCAACATGGCCAAAAATTACTTTTTATTAGGACCATGACAATTTTCTTTAATGGATCATGGCAAATGTAGTTTATGGATCATGGCAATTGTATGATATGGACCATGGCAAATTTCTTCCATTTTTGCAACATGGCAAAAAAAATGTACAGGACCATGGCAAATTTAGTGTATGTAACATGGAAATTACAGTGTATGGATCATGTCATTTTAGTCTACAGATCATGATATATAGAACATTTCCAACAAATTTGCAATGGCACATAACAAAAAAATTAGTTCTCATGTTTCTTGTTTAATACCATGGCAATATTTTTACTGGACCATGAAAAATTAAGTTGTTCGATCATGGCAAATTTTTTTATGGATGATGCAGTTTACTTTTTTGCGACATGGCAAACAAATTGTTTTATTTTTGGACCATGGAAATTTACTTTCATGGAGCATGGCAAATATAGTTTACGAATCATGGCAATTTTTATTTCTTTGCAACATGCTGAAAAATAACTTTTGTATCAGACCATGGCAATTTAAATTCTTGGGGGCATGGCAAATGTAGTTTATGGACCATGGCAATTTTCTTTTCTTCGCAACATGGCCAAATATTACTTTTTATTAGGACCATGGCAATTTTCTTTAATGTATCATGGCAAATGTAGTTTATCGAGCATGTCATTTGTATTATATGGACCATGGAAAATTTCTTTCATTTTTGCAACATGTCAATTTTCTTTTGTACGAAACCATGGCAAATTTAGTGTATGTATCATAGAAATTACAGTGTATGGATCATGGCATTGTAGTCTACAAATCCTGATATATATATATATATATATATATATATATATATATATATATATATATAACATTTCCAACAAAGCTATTGTGGCACATGGCAAAAAAAATAGTTATCATGTTTTCTCGTTTAATACCATGGCAATATTTTTATTGGACCATGGCAAATTAAGTTGTTCGAGCATGGCAAATGTATTTTATGGATCATGGAAATTTTCTTTTCTTTGCAACATGGCAAAAAATACTTTATTTTGTACCATGGCAATTTACTTTCATGGAGCATGGCAAATATAGTTTACAGGTAATGGTAGTTTTCTTTTCTTTGTAGCATGGCAAAAATATACTTTATTTTTGGACCATGGCAATTACTTTCATGGAGCATGGCAAATATAGTTTACGGATCATGGCATTTTTTATTATATGTACCATAGCAAATTTATTCCTTTTTTGCAACATGGCAAAAAAAATTGCATGGGACCATGGAAAATATAGTCTATGGATCATGATATATAGAACATTTCCAACAAAGTTGCCATGGCCCATGGCAAAAATATCTACTCCCATGTTTTCTCATTTTAATACCATGGCAAAAAAATCCTTGTGTATGTTGTTTGTCTCTATTTTTACCATTGGCAATCTTATTTTTATATTTGTATGGGAAATTCGTCGAGCATACCATGAAAATTTCTATATGCTTTTACATTTTTGGTTGCATAGACGAAACTTTTTAGGCAATTTTATGTTTTTGAAAGGTGGCAAATTGAAGAAAAAGTTGATATGTTGATGTTGCAAAAATTTACTCATGTCCAATGGAAAATTGTGTAGGAATTCTCTTTGTTCTTTTTTGTTAATGCCCTTGTTTGTGGGTTTTTTTATTTTTCATAATATCATGGCAACTAAAGATTTTGAACATATCTATTTCCACATACAACTGACGAATTCATTATATATATCCCGACATATCTTTTTTTAGATGACATGCATGTTTGTTTTTATTTTTGGATTTTGTGTTGACACAGGAATTTTTGGATTGTGTTTTTTTAGGTACAAGGAATTATACTGGGGGAAGCCCAGCAACCTATTGGGCCATGGTTCGCACTGAGAGGGTTGCCCCGCCAAACGAAAACGTTCGTTCCGTCTAACCTCCCAGACCACCCCTCAAAAAAAAATCTAACCTTCCAGACCGAATGGAGCGTTCGGTGGAAGATTGCTAAAAATCTGCCATTTGACATATATCGATGTCCTTAATCTATACCTAATAATAAAGGGCTATTGCTTCTTACGATACGTCAAGGTAATTGCCCCCAATGTTGCAAAATATTACCCATCAATGCCCCATATAACTGTGAAAAAAACGCAGGGACCTCCTATACTGCGCTCTGCGCACTGGGAAAAGACACAACACATCTGTTTGGGCCGGCCTGTGTCCACATGGCCTAATTTTAAAATTTTGTTTTCAAATTTTTATTTTTATTTTCCATATTTTTTCGTACTTTGAATAACTTGGAACTTCAAGTGTTCTGAACTTTAAAAAATGAGAATTTTGAAATACAATATTTAGTAAATCATAAAATGTTTGTGGATTCAAACAATATTCGTGAGTTTATAAAAAATGTTGTTTATTCAGAAAATGCTCGAATTTTTTAAAACAAATATTCGCAAAATCAAAAGATGTTCATGATTTTTTTAATTTCGTGTATTAAAAATGTTAACAAAATTGAACAAATTTTTTCCAATTCAAAAAATATTCATTAATGGGAAAATATCCAAAAAAATCAAACACTGTTCGTGACTTACAAAATAGTCTATTCATTCATAAAATGTTCTCTAATCAAAATTTATGCATTTCAAAAAATGTTCGTTAAATCAACAAATTATTCATGAATTTAAAAAAATTCAGGAAAACTGTTAAAAAATGTTCACATTTAAAAAAATTCAAATAGTATAAAATGTTCATGAATTCGAAAATGTTCTTGATTTTAGAAAATGTTCATAAATTTGTAGAAGTGTTCATGAATTGGAAAAATGTTCACTATTTCAAATATGTTCATAGTTTAAAAAAATGGTCATGATTTCACGAAATTGTGAGTGATAGTGTATCTCGGTAATGCAGCAAAATCTGATCATGGCCATTGGAGACTATGCTTTATTTTTTCTCCCATTGCAATGCACTAGCCCTTTTGCTAGTAATATACATATTTCTACTAAATCTTAGTTGTTTAGATTTCTCCTGTTTGACATTTGTTTACACCTTCATGGTATCGGGTGAACATACTACGTCGGCGGGCCGTGGACCTGTTACTTGCCCTCTCCGCAGCAGCATCGACATTGTCGGTGTGCTGCTCAAGCCACGGTTACTCAGCCTCTAGCTCCGGAGAAATTTGGCCTCTTAGGTGTCTCGCCCTGGGTTGGGGAAGGGGTTTGTGGTTGGGCCGTGTAATCCCACTTCCTCGGCTTGAATTGGTGAAACGACAATGAGGATGCACCAATGCAGCAGCACAAGGACATGCTTCACGATTCACCAAGCAAAGAAAATTTTAAATTAATATAACTAGCAAGATGTCTGTGTGTTGCACGTAACATCAAAATGCATTTGTATGAGTAGTTTATCTTGTGAGAGAAAAGGATAAACGAGGGAAGGCTTTATTTGCAAATGTGGAGAGGGGTGTGGGTATCTTTTTGCAAAATTGTCATAGTTTTTCTTTCTATCCGTCAGATATAAATCAGACGGCTTATATTGCAGGATGGCAGACACACCATCATCACCAACTCTGTTTTTTTATAAGAGTAGAGTAAATATAATGTAAAAAGGCCTTATAATTATATTAAGTATTTTTGTTGTATTTTGTGTTTGATGTTCTCAGTAAAAGAGTGCATACATATTTTTGCTAACTAAGATTGCCTTTTTTCACCACCACCACGACGCAAACACACGAGCACATTCAGTAGAACAATAATCTTCATGCATCAAACCGGTGTGGATGGGCTCAAACAACTTCCCTTCACCACTAGCTACAAACGACGTAATGTCCAACACATCGAATTACACATATAAAAGTACCGAACCATTTTATCGACCCTCTATACCAGTAAGAGTTAACCTATTCACAGAATTCTGAATATTGTTTCTGAGCTGCTCCAGTTCAGTGCTCCATCCTGCAAAGTATGCAGGCCGGTCGGGAGCTGGCAGTGCAGTGCTCCCATTCTCTAGCGCCAACACAACTGATGACATGTGTGGCCTGTCTTTTGGGTTTTCTTGGACACACAAGAGGGCTACATGAATGCAAAGCAACACCTCATCTGGTAAGCATGTGTCCATGATAGATGGGTCGGCCAACTCCTCTGCCTTCCCGTCCTTCCACATATTCCATGACTGGAACAAACAAAAACATCATCTCTTTTGTGTTACATGACTATTTTCTTTCAAAAATATCAGGCAATTTTGTAGATAGTTGGGAACTTGAAAACATGCTGTACGTACGTAAGCTATGAGGCTAGGAGAGCCCATGGGACTGCTGGAGCTTCTCTTCATACTGGTTACAGTCTCCAATAGCAACACGCCAAAACTATAGATGTCGGACTTGGTAGAGATGACGCCTTGCATTGCATACTCAGGAGCCATGTAGCCGCTGCTTGATTATTTGACTTGCAAGGGTTATTTGAAATGGGGTTTGGATATAATTGCAGATCAATTGGAGCTATTGGTTCAAACAGTTACTCACTATGTTCCGACGACACGTTGGGTGTTTGCATTTTCCTGGATATCACCGAAGATCCTCGCCATACCAAAATCCGCTATCTTGGGCTTCATCTGTGCATCTAGCAAAACATTTCCAGCTTTGAGATCTTTGTGAATTATGGTCAGCCTTGAATCTTGGTGGAGATAAAGAAGCCCCCTGGCGACACATTTGATTATATTTAAACGTGTTCCCCAATCCAGCAGCAATTTCCTTGAATCATCTTTAGACAAAAGCAAATGTTAGAAAACAAAATTTTGACATGTTTTAAAAACTGGTGTGTTGCTAGAATATACCGAAAAGGGTGGCATCTAAGCTTCTATTAGGCAAATACTCATAAATCAACAACTTTTCATCTCCCTCGTCACAACATCCAAGAAGTCGAACCAAATTTCTGTGTTGAAGTTTGGCAATAAGTATTACTTCATTTCTGAATTCATTTGTTCCTTGTTGAGAATCCTTATTTAGCCGTTTGACAGCAATTTCCTGATCGCCTAGTGTTCCCTGTATGATTTTAAGGGAATATGTAGATCTGAATTTGTCATGTGAATATATCAGTTAGAATAAAAACAATGTAGTGCTGAATAATTACCTTGTAAACTTTGCCAAAGCCTCCCCGTCCAATCATACATGTTTCCGAGAAATTATGTGTTGCTAGGGCAATCTCCTCCAATCTTACAAATGGGAATTCAAGATCACTTGAGCCATCCAATAGCGCCTTCTTGTGCTTTCCCTGGGTCCTGTTCTTGCCTTCTTCAAACAAAATGGCATGATCATTTCTTCTCCAGTAAATATAACATAGTACTATGCAATCATACATGTTTCCGAGAAATTATGTGTTGCTAGGGCAATCTCCTCAAATCTTACAAATGGGAATTCAAGATCACTTGAGCCATCCAATAGCGCCTTCTTGTGCTTTCCCTGGGTCCTGTTCTTGCCTTCTTCAAACAAAATGGCATGATCATTTCTTCTCCAGTAAATATAACATAGTACTATGCAATTAGCCCCCCGAACTTGTCCCTTAGTTGAACACTCAAGTCATCACTCGTAGAACCCAACCAGCGCAGGATCAAGAGAAATAATGTGGTTCAGCCATGTCTTATCTATTGATGAATTGCCACCACCACATTGCCAGCTTGGATTTGCATCTTCATGGGATTTATAAAGCTTTCGTGGTATGGGGGTACAATAGATACAGAAACTTGAATGTTTCGGGAATGTAAGGAATGTAGACTAAACGCACCTTTGGATTTCAACCATGCAAGGGAAATGCACATGAGTATCAGGACACTACTTCCTAAAACTGGCAGTACAATCTTCACTGCAGTGCTCCTTCTTGTCCTTTTAGCTGTGCAGCGCACATAAAAATAAAGTATTATGCATAGCCAAGGTCGTCCCCGAGTTGTGCTGTGTCTTGTCAATCTAAAACAAAAAGAGAGTTAGTGTAGACAAGTATATATAAGGTAATAAAGTGGTACCAGCTACTGCATCCAAGCCTGCAAGCCGCAGATAGAGTGTGTCACTCACGGGGTCTGCGTGTAACTTCCCGGTGTCAACCAACTCACCGACCCACAACAAGCACCTTGGCATACCTCCGCTGGCCATGCCACTGCTCAGGTTGGCATAGGCGTACGCCAAGCATGAGCAGTTGCGGCGGCATGCCGCCGCACATTCCTCCAACAACGTGTCTCCAACAAACACGAACTTGTCCGGTGGTTTCATGCTCGGCAAGGCCAAGAAACCATCGCCGCAACGCAGTGCCTCTTTCTGTCGACACCCCTTTGAGAACTTGCCCTTGTTCCACTCCTCTGTGCTCGTCGGCTCAAAACCATCGAGGCACTTGCACGTCGGGACGGGCAACACCGTCTCGTCACAGTAGCCGTAGCGGTTGCATCCGTGGTGTGGCCACTGCCCAAAGACTACCCACGCAGAGGAGCTGTTGTTCCAGCCCTGGAACTGGAGCGCGCCGGAGTAGGCCAGCACAAGCCTGGTGCGCCAGCTAGCGTCCGAGACGCTAAATATTGCGTAGGTTTCCTTGTCATTATTGACGACACTGAGATATATCATGATGGCGCTGGTGTTGGTCATCAAGTATTGGTACTCATTCCTGACCTGGTACCCCGTCCATGGGGCGGTGCGGTATACCGGGCGTGACCCGTTCCAGAGGAACATCTGGATGATGGTGGCTGGGTCGCAGCCGTAGGAGAAGCTCCCTGGTGAGGGGTCTCCGGAGCCTTTCCAGGATACCAGGCGTCCACCCGCACGTGTCCTGTACCTGATCCGCATCTTCATGCCAGGTAGGAACGTGTCGGTTGGGTGGTCGAAGCTCTGCCAAACCGTGGTGCCGTTGGATGACCGGATGATGAGGTTACCGGTCTTCAGAAGAACTGCCTCTGATGAATTGTAGATCGAGGCAGCGGCTACGCCAGTCGTCCAAACAACACGACTGCCATCACCATCAGAGAGAACAAGATTGGAGGTGTTGGTGAGGGAGAGCATGGGCGTGGAGGAGGTAGTGTTCCTGACCGGGGTTTCCCGGTTGGCGACCCACAGCACGGTGAGCTCGGAGATGCCGTTGTACCAGATGCCAAGGTACAGGTTGGACGGCATTGAGCCAGAAGAGGGGAAGAAGCCAAATGCGAAGTCACCGCCATCCGAGACGATGGTGGTGCCAGGGGAGAGCGGGTTGCTGGAGACAAGCCGGTCGTCGGACGCACACAGCGGCAGGAACAGAATGATCAGCACGGCGATGGAGCAGTTGAGAGCTGACCAATCCATTCGACGATGCTGCCAGAAGAATTGCAGTACAGGCACGAAATGTGATTCTGGTGGTCTTACAAGACTCCTTGGCCAGACAAGCAACATTACGATTATAGTAGGCTAGTTTCAGAGTTGGCATTCTGGCTGTCTACGTCGGTCCACCTTCATTCTGTGCGTTTAGGATATAATTCATCACGATTGGCCTGACGTAAATGCAGATATTAAAAATCAAAGGATAATGTGTGTCCATTCTACTACCATTACGTGTACTTTGAACTGGGAAATAACCAGTCTCAACTGCCATTACGTGTACTTTGAACTGGGAAATAGCCAGTCAGGGAGCACCATCACTTCTAGTTGCTGTGTATTTCCTATTTTTCCTCCCCCTCCCCGCGTGCCCCCCGCGTCGCCCTCCCCGAGCGAGGTGACCGGGGCGGTTCCCCACTCCTCCCCCTCCCCGCGAGTCGCCGCCCCCCTTCCCCCTCGCCGCTGCCGCCGGCGGGCGCGGCCGGGCGTTGCCCGCGCGGCGCCCCGCAGTCCGGCGGTGGCGGCCCTCCTTCCCCCGTCGCTGGACCCCGGCTCGGGCAAGCAGTCCTGGCGGCGGAGCCCTTCGGCCGGCGGCGTTCCGGCACGGATCTGGACGGCGGCGGTGCGGAGGCGTTGCCCCTTGGCGGCGGTGACGGCCCATGGCTTGCGGCGGCCGGCGGCGCTCGGCTGGCCCAGATCTAGGCCCTACGAGCCTGATCTGGGTTGGGGCGGGCCTGCTGGGTGGCCGCAGTGGGTTGTTCTCCGGTGGTTCCGGCGAGCTCCTCGCGACAGGGACGGCGGCTGCTGTGCCGCGACTGCTGAAGCACGGCGGCGGAGCTTCACGGGCACGCGCTGGGCCCGGCCGGACATTTGGTCTGGTGTGCCTCTGCTGCTATGCCCGGTCTGCTACCGCCTAAGCCGGTGGAGGTTGTTCCCTCCCTCGTGGCTGCGGTGCTGCTGGTCCTTGTCTACGGGTGTCTCGTTTGGATCCGGCCGGCCTCGCTTCATTGGCCGTGGTGAGACGATGGCGGTGTCCTCGTGACTGTGTTGGCGCATGTTGGTGGGCGGTGGGTGTGGTGGAGCCGAAGGTTGGTCCTGGGTGGTGGGCGCGAGAGGTCGGGAGAAATCCATGTCGGGTCTTGCCGGCACCAACGCGGTGACGCCTGCGGGCGCCGCCATCCTTCTTGAAGGGTGTCGGGTGACCCTCTCCTCCCTCTACCCTCCGTGTACCGGGAGAAATCCTAGGATTCGTCCGGGCAGCAGCGTCGTCATCGTCGCATTCCTTCTTGAAGATGGTGCTTGGTACACGGCAACTCGGTGGCTTTGGAGCATGGTGGTTATCTTCGGTGGGCGCATCGGTCGCGGTGTGCCGTAGCTTTCGTTGATCCGGCGTTGTTGGCATTTCTTCTCTTATTTTCTCTTGTTATTTCTTTTGGGCGTGCTTGTGCTGTTTGCCCCAGAGTTGATCGGAATGTTGTATCGGGTGGTTGCTATATCAATATAGCGGGGCGAAAGCCTATTTCGACAATAGCCAGTCAGCAGCATGGAACTTTGAAGTTGGAAATATGATGTGTACCTTAAGAAATCACATCCAGCCCCTCTGTTACAGAAAGGTTGTAATGCCTAGAGAAGAACAATTCACCTATCTACCCTCTAGAACTTAGGATCCATGCTCCCCTTCTTGGTTTTTTCAGTTAACTAGCTCTCCTAGTTTTGAGTTCTACCGTTACCCTTATAACATGCAAAATCTGTTCTGCAGAGTGAGGCACTGAAGGTATCAGAACCGGCAGCCACACTAAATCAAACTTCTCCAGCCATTGCCGGTTTTGTTCCTGGGCGCTGCCATAACCTCCAGCAATGGCTAGAAAAAGGCTCGGTGAGAGGACTTTCTAGATTTTGGTTCACTTTTGCTGTTTATTTGCTTCAAGGCTCGTGCACTGACGATGTCCCAGCACCCTGGCTCAAGCGATTCTGATAGGAACCAGGAGATTTTCCTAAACAGATCTTTGGGGAAAACAATTAGGGTCTACACAGATGGCCCTAATCGAAATTCAGTTGGTATGTACGAGTGCGTTATACCCATCTGGCCATCTATGCAAACCGAAACTTCACGTCTACTCCCTCCGTCCGAAAAAGCTTCCAAGACTAATTCCTTATAAAAACATAAGTAGCAAAGGAAGAACTCCTCACTGGGTCCTTGCTCTCAACTTCCATAATGAACTGGATCATCGTGCCACATCTCCAAAGTACTCCCTGCGTCCCAAAATAAGTGTCTCAACTCTAGTATAACTTTGTACTAAAGTTAGTATAAAGCTGAGACACTTATTTTGGGACGGAGGGAGTAGGCAGTAATTCCTTTGAATCTCTGCTGTTCATAGCTCTCTTCACTCTACAAAAACTTGAATATCAAGGTCTCGTCCTAGGATGATAGCTGTAAAATGCTCTTTGTCATGAGAAATGGAACCATTTAAATGAGGGAAGAAACGGTAGCATACCTCAAAATCTAATGGAGGAGAAGACAACCACGAAAGTTCCTCTACTTGGCCTATGTCCACATTCCGTGGCAAGAACATGATGATATTAGGGGCCATCTTCTGAGCAGCCTGAAATATTGCAAGCCTGCATGCAAAACCATATGTCAGCAGTGCTATTGTTTTACTATTTACAAAAGTTAATCTTGTTCTTTTTTATTTCGTCTCAATATTATAATAATCAGGGGTTGTTTAGATGAGAGGTGTATTTTCTTTAGAAGCTCCGGTATTTAGTTTAAATTTGAACTAGATGCAAACTATCTAAAGCCCCCTCATCCAACACCCCTAAGTGCCAGATATGTACAAGGGAGATGCATCAGTCCAGTCTTACATGGAATGTGCAAGCTTCCTGACTACAGGACTGCCTAGCACTCCATCAGTATGCTCACTTCCTAAAAGCATAAACTTTTTGAAACCTGTATGAGTTTTGTCTTCTACTTCATCATCCAGCGATAAGGACAATTTGGAATACAGTGAGTAGTTGCATACACATCTTTTGGCAGCAGCATATCGAGGGTGTACATTGGAGTCTTATTGTATAATGGCCCTCTCCATGGTGGTGAAAGGAACACCAAATCCTGCTGGTATAGTATCAGCAATCAGCAAACCATATATCACTAAATGGCTACTCAACCATATGAAAATTGAAACTATCACTTAATCTTGCTAGTTCATCCCGGATGGTCTGTTATCCCTCATGATGTTTTATGTCACTCACCATACTAAAGAGGATGGTAACATCTTGAAATTAAACTACAAGAAGGCAAGTGACAGGTTTAATTCGGAATACCTTGAGCAGTGTTGCTTGCTAAAGGCGTTCATTAAAAATGGGTTGACTGGATAATGGGCGTAATAAAGGGCCAGGTCAATAGCCTTATAGGCGTTACTATACAGCCCAGGGCCTTGGGCAGTGAGACCCTATGTATACAATGTTTTTTTGGTTTATTTGCAGATAGACTGACAACAATGTTGAGTATTAATAGCCAAATAGGCAGATCAGTAGTCCCAAAATGTACTCAACTAAACATTCTGACTGTACCACTCTTATTAACCAATGGTGTTCACATGACAAGGAATCCAAAGTTTATATTTGTGTTTTTTTCAGATTACATCAGGCATCAACATCAAATTTTTAAAAGGTGGTGGTCTACTACCTCCGTTCCAAATTATATAATGTTTTGGACATCTCAATATGGACTACATACGGACTGAAATGAGTGAACAAACACACCAAAACACATCTATATACATACGATTCACAAAAAGTTAGAACATCTTATAATTCGGAACGGAGGGAGTACATCACTAAATGTGTGAGGACATGCCTAGTTTTGTTGGAACTCCTGTCAGTAATGTCAGGCTGGTGAAGGAGTTTATCACAAAAAAATAGGCTGGTGAAGGAGTACTGGTAGTAATAATATAGTTCAAAAAACAAGGTCGCTTGGGCAGTTGTAGTGCTTATAGATTAAAATAAAAAATACCACACTACCAACAATTGTAGATTTCTCTTTAGAAATCAAAATGGCTTTCTACAGATTCCGATATACTGGACATACAAAGTGTTCTCGAGTTCTGTAATCCACGCAGGTAGAATCCTGGTGCGCCTCATAGCTTAATTGCGTGAAAAGAGTTTGTAAAATTAACAGTTACAGTCTTACAGATGGGTTTATGTTTTTTTTATAACTGTGCATACCTTGAGCATGCCATATCATAGTTGGAAGCATGCATTGGTTTGGCTGGTTTCATACCATTTCAGGATTTCCCCCAATAGGCATGTCCATTTATCAAAATTTAACTGGCCTACTCAATGTGGTCTTGTTCATCCTAAAACTGAACGAGTATACTACCTTCAAGTAAGGCGCGAGGTGGAAGAAATCGCCGACGACGAACTCGATCAAATGCTCCAGGCCATAGATTCTGGCATTGTGCCTCACCAGATCCACCTTCCAGGGATCGATCTCCACCGTGACCACGTAGCAGCCCCTGCACGAGAACGAAACGCCAGTGTTAGCGGGGGAAAGCAGTGTCCTGGAAACGAGAAGGGGTTGGCCAGCGGCGCATGCCTGGCAGCAAACTGGATGGAATTGCCACCGACCCTGGCAAACGTGTCGACGACGAGACCGACAGGCACTGAGCAGGTGTACTGCACGGTGGCGATGGCCTCCAGAGTGGCAGAGTACCAGCCCTCGGCGTCCATCACAAGTTCGTGAAAAAAGAAAAACTTCATGCACACTGACACTCGGCCATCCTCTATTATGAACATATTTCATGGGCACGAACAAGAATCATTCAGTAGAACAAAAACTTCATGGATCAAACCCGTGTAGATGGGATCAAACAACTTCCCTCCACCACTAGGCTACAAACAACGACCACTGGTGGACAAGCCTTTCTTTACACCATGTCCAACACATAAAAGTAATGAACTATTTCATCGACCCTCTATACCAGTAAGAGTTAAAGTATTCACGGAATTCTGAATATTATTTGTGAGTTGGTCCAATTCATTGCTCTGTCCCATGAAGTATGCAGGCCGACTGGGAGTTGGGAGTGTAGTGCTTCCATTCTCTAGGGTGAACACAACCGATGACATGTGTGGTCTGTCTTTTGGGTTTTCTTGGACACACAAGAGTGCTACATGAATGCAAAGCAACACCTCATCTAGTAGGCATGTATCTACAATAGATGAGTCAGCCAATTCCTCTGCCTTCCCATCTTTCCACATATTCCACGACTGAAACAAACAAAAACATCTCGGGTTAAAAAACTATTTTCCTTATTGAGAACTTCGGCGAAAGCATGTATATACTCACGTAGATTATGAGGCTTGGAAAGCCCATGGCGTGACTAGTGGAGCTTCTCTTCATACCAGTTACAATCTCCAGTAGTAACACGCCAAAACTATAGATGTCAGATTTGGTAGAGATGATGCCTTGCATTGCATACTCAGGGGCCATGTAGCCGCTGCTTGATTATTGGCATGCAATAGTTACACAAATGGGAATTGAACATAATCATGGGGTAATATGAGCTATTGGTTCAAACAGTTACTTACAATGTTCCGACGACATGTTGGGTGTTCGCATTTTCCTGGTTATCACTGAAGATCCTTGCCATACCAAAATCTGCTATTTTAGGTTTCATCTCTGCATCTAGCAAAACGTTCCCAGCTTTGAGATCTCGGTGAATTGAATCTTCATGAAGATAAAGAAGACCCTTTGCGACACCTTTAATTATGGTTAACCGTGTCCCCCAATCCAGCAAATGTTTTCTTGAATCATCTTAAGACAAAAGCAAATGTAAGAAAAAATATGTTGAGTTGTTCCATGAATACCTGGTGTGGTGCTAGAACATACCGAAAAGGGTGGCATCTAAACTTTTATTAGGCAAATACTCATAGATCAGTAGTTTTTCATCTCCCTTGTCACAACATCCAAGAAGTCGAACCAAGTTTTTGTGTTGCAATTTGGCAATAAGAATGACTTCATTCCTGAATTCATTTGTTCCTTGTTGAGAATCCCTACTTAGCCTTTTGACAGCAATCTCTTGACCACATAGTGTTCCCTGTATAATATTAAGCAATAAAAAAGATTTGAGTTTTTCATATGAATATATCAATTAGGTTACTGATTTTGGACTGAATAAGAGGAAACTAGTGCTGAATAACCACCTTATAAACTTTCCCAAAGCCTCCATGCCCAATCATACATGTTTCAGAGAAATTGTGTGTTGCTCGGGCAATTTCCTCAAATCTTACTAATGGAAATTCAAGATCACTCGAACCATCCGATGGCAACTTCCTGTGTGCCTTGTTTCTCTTCTTGCCTGCTCACCATACAGTTGCATAATAATTCTTGTCCAACCATCATAACAACAGCTAAGAAGAGCTCTATTTGACCCTAACTATTGGTTTTTAAAAAGGTAGAGCGGTCTCTACCTTATAAGTACTATATTTCAAACTGAATGGCCAATTTACATCAAATGACATACTTGATGTGGCGGCAACTCAGACATATAAAATGTAATTGACATATTAGAAAAATCAACCCATTCTCACTAGCTTTCTCCACCCCTTCTGACTTCTCCCTTAGTTTTGAACACTTATGTCCGCACTACTAGACCGCAACGAGTATACCTACAGCGGTGATTGGCAGCGGGAGCACAACCCTGATGATCCATGGGGCTCACCCTGGGTGGAGGATGTATAGAGACAATGTGGTTCCGTCATATCTTATTTACCGACAAATTGCCACAACTACATTACCAGACACTGTGATTAAACTACATAAGGATAAGGGGCTATTTCGCCTGGATTTGCATCTTCATGGGTTTCAGAGGATTCCATAGAATGAGGGTACAGTACGCAAACAACAATATTTCGGAAAGGTCAAATCGGTATATCTCCAAGTAATGTAAACTAAACGCACCTTCAAATTTCAACCATGCAATGGAAATGCACACGAGTATCAGAACAATACTTCCTACAACCGGCAACACAACTTTCATGGTGTTGCTCCTTGTCCTTTTACCTATGGGCGAACAGAATAACATAAAAACAAAGTATCATATATAGTGAAGCACATCCACGAGACAAAAAAGAGTTATCATAGATATAAAGGAGAGATTTGGTACCAATTGCTGCGTCCAAGCCTGCAAGTCACAGATAGAGCGTATCGCTGTCGGTGCTTGTGCCTAGCTTCCCGGTGTCAACTAATTCCCTAACCCACACCAAGCACCTTGTCATGTCTCCGTTGGCAATGCTTCTGCTCAGGTTGGTGTAAGCGTAGGCCATGCAGGAGCAGTTGCGGCCGCATGCCGTCGCACACTCCTTCGACGATGTGTTTCCAACGACCACGAACCTATCCAGTGGCTTCATGCCCGGCAAGGCGAAGAAACCATCACCGCAACGCAGCGCCTCTTTCCGTCGACACCCCTTTGAGAACTCACTGTTGTTCCACTCCTCCATGCTCGTTGGCTCAAAACCATCGAGGCACTTGCACGTCGGGACGGGCAACATTGTCTCATCGCAGTAGCCATGCGTGCCGCAGTAGCCATAGTGATTGCATTTGTGGCGTGGCCACTGCCCAAAGACTACCCAAGTCGAAGAGCTACTATTCCAGCTTTGGAACTGGAGCTTGCCAGAGAAGGTCAGCACGAACCTGGTGTGCCAGGCACCATCCGAGACGCTAAACATTGTGTAGCTCTCCTTGTCGTTGGTGACAAAGGCCAGGGATATGATGATGGCGCTGGTGTTGGTTATCAGGAACTCGCCCTTGCTCTTCACCTGGTACCCCGTCCATGGGGTGCTGCGGTACACCGGGCGCGACCCGTCCCAGAGGAACATCTGGATGGACGTGGCCGGATCACAGCCGTAGGAGAAGCTCCCAGGAGAGGGGTCTCTGGCGTCTTTCCAGGACACCAGGCGCTCACCGGCGCGTGTCCTGTACCTGATCCGCATCTTCATGCCAGGTAGGAACGTGTCGGTCGGGTGGTCAAAGCTCTGCCACACCCTGCTGCCATTAGGTGACTGGATGACGAGGTTACCAGTATTCAGAAGCACCGCCACTGGTGAAGACGAGCTTGAGGAAGCCACGTCAGTTGTCCAGACAACATGACTGTCAGCACCATCAGAGAGAACAAGATTGGAGGTGCTGGTGAGGGAGAGCGTCGACGCGGAGGAAGTGCTGTTCGTGACCGGGGTTTCCCGGTTGGCGACCCATACCATGGTGAGCTCGGGGATGCCGTTGTACCAGATGCTGAGGTACAGGTTGGACGGCATCGAGCCGGATGAGGAGAAGAAGCCCAAGGCGAAGTCACCGCCATCCGAGACAATGGTTGTGCCGGGGGAGAGCGGCTTGCCGGGGACAAGCCGGTCATCAGATGCACCCAACGGCAGGAACAGAATGATCAGTACGCAAGCGGAACAGCTGAGAGATGACCAATCCATTCGACGATGCTGCCAGAAGAATTGCAGTCCAGCCTCGGTATGTGATTCTGGGAATGTACTCGTACAAGCAACAATAATGCAAAGACTTCGCAAATATAGTAGGCTAGTTCCGAAGTTGACATTTCAGCTGTCTACTTCCATCTTCATTGCTGCCCTGGCCAGAAGCGTTAAATAATTGCTGTTTACTTTGAACTTTCTCTTCTTCATCTTGTCACAGGTTGGGAAAGAGCAAGTCAATGGCATGAAACTTTGAGGTGGAAATACCGTACCTTAAAAATCATATCCTCCAGGGAGTGGATGTCACATCCAGCTCCTCGGCTGGAGAGGCTCAACAAGAGGACTTCTGAGATTTCAGTTTGCGCCGAGACAATACGATCCGACAGGAAACAACACTGCGCCGAGACAACACGATCAGACAGGAAACAACATGCTACCAATATGGGTTCCTTGGCTGACAACAAAATGGTGTGAAATATCCAGACATAAACAGGTTTCTTCATGTATTACGGGCCACATTTAATTAGTCACCAGAGATGTTCCCACTGGTGCCTCTTCTTCCATTTGTACTATATTTCCTGTTCCTGTTCCTATCCCTTTGTTCCCATTTTTATGTATCTACATTTAAGAAAATTCATACATCCCCAGGTGGTAACTATCCAACTAAAGATTTTGATTCCAGTGGGCACAGCTATGATCATGTCATAGCCACACATTATGAAACTTCTCCCGTCATTGCCGATTCAATGAGAGGACTTTTGAGATTTCAGTAGACATTTCCCATACCTGACTCCAGGGATGCAAATGGGAACCAAGAGATTTTCCAAACTGGATTTGGGGGTTAAACAATTAGAGTCGATCTTATGGAACCCAATTCGAGAAGCCTAAACTAAATCCTTGTTATTAGAATAATGATCTCTTGGCTATGACCAACTCATATATTTATTGAAATGGTCGAAATTCAGTTGATATGTACATGGATGTCACATCTGCAAGACTAATTCCTCCTGCACCAACTTAGGACTTAGGAGGAAAAAACATAAGTAGCTTAGGAAGAACTTCGCCTCACTGGGTCCTTGTTCTCAACTTCGATAATGAACTGGATCATCGTGCCACGTCTCCAAAGTAAGCAGTGATTCCTTTGAATCTGTGCTGTACGTAGCTCTCTTCACTCTATAGAAAACTTGAATATTAAGGTCTCGTCCTAGGATGATAGCTGTAAAATGCTCGGAGTCATGAAAAATGCGACCAAAAGGAGAGGAGAACAGTATCATACCTCAAAATCCAGGGGAGGAGAAGACAACCACGAAAGTTCCTCTACTTGGCTTATGTCCACATTCCGTGGCAAGAACATGATGATATTAGGAGCTATTTTCTGAGCAGCTTGAAATATTGCATGCCTGCGTGCAAAACCATATATCAATAATACAATTGTTTTACTGTATCAGAGTTAATTTTGTTCATTCTCACCCGCAAAAAAAAAATTGTTCATTCTGATTTTATCTGAATGTAACAATAGGGGCTGTTTGGATGAGGGGTATGTTTCTTCAAGAGCTCTGGTACTCCCTCCGTCCCAAAATTCTTGTCTTAGATTTATCTAGATACAAATGTATCTAACACTAAAATGTGAGTAGATACATCCGTATGTAGACAAATCTAAGACAAGAATTTTGGGACGGAGGAGTATTTAGTTTGGATCAACTAAATATGAAAACTATCTACAGAAATATCCCTCATCCAACACCCCTAAGTACCACAAATGTACAAGAGTAATAATTCACCAGTCCAGTTTCACTTGGAATGTGCAAAGCTTCCATGACTAACAGCTACAAGGCTACAATTGTAGGCCAACGACTACAAAGCACTCCATCAGTATGCTCGCTTCAAAGAAGCATAAACTGTTTCAAACCTGTCTGTGTTTTTTATTCTAATTCATCATCTGGTGTAAGGACAATTTGGAAGATGGTGAGCAGCATACCCATCCTTTGGCTTCAGCATATCGAGGGTGTACACTGGTGTTTGATTATATGATGGCCCTCCCCATGGTGGTGAAAGGAACACCAAATCTGCCTGGTAAAGTAGTAGCAATCAGCAAACCATTCATTAAATGGCTACTCAACAATATGAAAATTATAACTGTCACTCAATCTCACTAGTTCATCTCGGATGATGTAGTTATCCCTCATGATGTTTTATGCCAATCTCATCATACTAAAGAGGAAGTACCATTTTGAAAATAGACTTCAAGAAAACAATTGACAAATTTAATACGGGGTACCTTGAGCAGTGTTGCTTGCTACAGGCGTTCAATTAAAATGGTTTGACAGGATAATGGGCATAACAAAGGGCCGGGTCAATATTGCACTGTATGGTGAACAATAGGTGTTACTATGCTGTCCAAGGCCTGAGACAGGAAGACCCTTTATATATGATACTTTTTGATTCATTTGCAGATGGACTGACAACAATGTAGGATAAAGATAAAAGCAATAATCTGTTCAAAACTTCAAATAAATAACCGAATAAGCAGATAGTCCTAAATGAGGCACTTAACTAAATATTCTGGATGTACTATTCGGTTATTAGCCAATGGTGTTGACATGACAAGGAATCTAAAGTTTATCTTGTACTGTTTTCAGAATATATCTGGCCTCAACATCAAACTAAAATAAACAGTTAAGTGATTTACATCACAAAATGGGTAGGACGTGCCTAGTTTTATCGAAACTCCTGTCAGCAATGTCAGGCTGGTGAAGGAGTACAGGTAGTAATAATAAAGTTCAGAAAACAAGGGGACTTGGGCAGTTGAAGTGTTTATAGATGAAATTAAATTAACAAGTAACTCACTACCAACAATTGTAGATTTAGGGGAAAAAATGGCTTTCTACAGATTCCGATATTGAGATCCCTGAATTTTTGTTCCACATAGTTATCGACTTCTCAACTCCGCCTATGTCTTCTAGGCATAGCCGGTCCCAAGCCCGGGTAAAGGAGGAGGGTTGTGATAGGCTTGGCGAGCCAACGTAAAAACTAGCCAGTCCCATAGGTATGAAACCCATTTGAGCGAGAATAGTACTAGGATGGGTGACCTCCTAGGAAGTCCTCGTGAAAGGGTTTCATATCTAAGGGTTGTGATAGGCTTGGCGAGCCAACGTAAAAACTAGCCAGTCTTTTGGGTATGAAACCCATTTGGGCGAGAGTAGTACTAGGATGGGTGACCTCCTGGGAAGTCCTCGTGAAAGGGTTTCATATCTAGCCTACCCCAACTTGTTTGGGATAAAAGGCTTCGTAAGTAAGTATAGTTATCGACTTCTCATGTAATTCATGCAGGTAGAATCCTGGTGTGACTCATGGCTTAATTGCGCAAAGAGAATTGATAACATCAGAAGTTACAGATAGGTTTGTGAATCTTTTTATTAACTGAGCATGCCATATCATAGTTGGAAGCATACACTGGTTTGGCTGGTTTCATATCATTTCTGGATTTCCCCCAACAGACAAGATCAAGGTATGTCCATTGATAAAATATTCACTGAACTACTAAATGTGGTCTTGTTCATCGTAAAACTGAACAAGCATACCTTCAAGTAAGGCGCGAGGTGGAAGAAATCGCCGACAACGAACTCGATCATGTCCTCCACGCCGTAGATCCTGGCGTTGTGCCTCGCCAGCTCCACCTTCCGGGGATCCATCTCCACCGCGACCACGTAGCAGCCCCTGCACGAGTACAAGATGCCGGCGACGTCTCATGTTAATAGTGCGGGAGCGGAGCAGGCGAGCGACCCGGAAACGGAAAGGGGCGGCGGGCACGCGCCTGGCGGCGAACTGGATGGAGTTGCCGCCGACCCCGGCGAAGGCGTCGAGGACGAGGCCTGCGGGCGCAGCTCGGGCGGCCTGCGCGGCGGCGATGGCCTCCGGGGTGGCGGAGTACCAGCCCTCGGCGTCCATCCGCACGCCGCGGTCGTACAGGGAGAAGAGGCTGTGGCGGTGGGCCCAGTACTTGCCCGCGACGGCCTCCGCGGCGGCATCAGCGGCGTGCTCCTCCTCCTCCTCCGGGCGCTTCGGCTCCTGCGGCGTCTCGGCCTCGTGGGGCGGCGGCGACGAGGGGGCTGGAGGTCGGGCCGCGCATTGCCGCCTGTCGGAGGTCGGGAGCGGCGGCGGCGAGGACGGGGAGACTGCGGCGAGGCCCCGGCGGCAGCGGCGGCGGCGGGTGGTTTTTCGGATGGTGGCGACCAGGCGGAGGAAGCGATGGGGCCCGTTCGGTAGGGCCCTCACGGCGTTGGCTCGCCGGCGAGCTACCTTCGGCGTGGCACTCGCTTTTGCCATCTCTCCGTTGGGCTTCTCGCGTGCTTGGCAGGTTAAGGGCATCTCCAGCCGTTGGCCCCCGGCGTTTAAAAGCGCCGTCTCGGGATGAGCCGACGCAAAAAATGGCCCTGGGACGAGTCGGTCCCCAGCCATCGGCCTCCAGGGCCGCCTCAGGCGCATATTAAAAAAAAGAACCGTTCGACGAAGTTATGATAAAAATTAGTTAAATTTCGGCCAAACATGGCAAATTTCGGCGAAATTCGGCCAAATATTACATTAACCTAATTAAAAAAAAGAAAGGGGCTGAAGTCGTCGCCGCCATCGTCGTCGTCGGCCTTCTCCTTCTTGACGCGGGCGCCCCTGCTGGACCCTTGCCCGGCGTCGCCATGGCGGACTGGCGGCGGCGCGTCGTCGTCGTCGTCGCTGTCGCATAAGACGACGACCCCGCCTTCCTCGCGGCCGCGTCGGCGCTCCTCGAAGCGGCGTAGGGTGGCGCACTGGCGCTCCTTCTCCTTCTCCCGGCGCGCCTTCTCCATCGCAATGGAGTCCTGGCGCGCTCATTCTAGGGCCGCGTCGTCGCCGTCGAACTCCGCCTTCACCGGCGCCAGTCCCGGCTCCGTCTTCACCGGCGCCAGCCCCGGCTCCGTCTTCACTGGCGGCCGCCCCGGCTCCGTCTTTGGCTTGACGAAGCGCGGAGGAGCCGACGAGGAGGAGGCGCGCCGGCCGCCCTCGTTGATGACGATGTCGGCGCTGCTAGTGCGCCGGCCGAGCGGCGTCTCCGCCACGGGCTCGGCCTTGACGCCGAGCAGGGCCGGAGTGCCGGAGGAGTGCGATGAGGATCGGGAGGAGGAAGAGGAGGAGGAGGACCCGAACCTCCTTGGCGCCCATGGCCCGGCGCGTCGGTGCTGCGCCGGGGCGGCCACCCTCGCCGGGGGGTACGCCAACGGCGGGTCATTGCTGCCTTCGAGGTACGTGAGCACGCCCTCGAGTGTGCGGCCAGGGACGCCCCACCAGAGGTGGCGCCCCTCGCTGTTCTGCCGGCCGCCGACCACCAGCACGCCGTTGGTGGACGCCAAGCGCTGCTGCTGGCGGCGCTCGAAATACGCCGCCCATGCCGCGTGGTTGTCGGCGGCGTACTGGGGGAGGGAGAGTTGGGCGTCGGTGAGGGACGCGCGCACGATCTCGACTTCCTCGGCGAAGTACTTCGGCTTCGCCACGGCGTCGGGCAACGGGGGAATGGGCACTCTCCCGGCGCTGAGTCTCCACCCGTCGGCCCGGCGCGCATGTCCGGCAGCGCCAGAATGTTCGCCTGGAACAGGAGCCAGGACTCCTGTTCGTGGAGCGAACGACGGCCGAAGCCGTTGGCCGCCGCCTCGTCTCCGGGGAAGCGTTCTGCCATGGCGACGGCGGGGCTGGGCGGGCTCGGGAGAGGTAGAGGGAGGGGTTGGGCGGCGGCGCTCGGGAGAGGTAGGGAGAGGGAGGGGCTGGACGGCGGCGAGGGGCGGGGCTGGTGTAGGCACAGGCGAGTGGAGGCCACCGGCTTTTATAGCCGCGTCGCGCCCGTGTGTACGCGTGCGAGGGAGGGGAGGCGTCGGCGCGCCGTCCCGTGACGCGCCGCCCGTGAGAAATCAATGGCAAGGCTGACCGGCGGCAGCCTTGCCATTGATTCCTCGCGGGAACCGGGACCGTTGGGGAAAGACGAGGCGCCGAGTCGCTGACGCAACTGGCCCGCGTCTTTTTCGCGCCAAAACAGCTCGCCCCGGCGCCCCCCAGCACGCCGGATTCGGCCTGGGTCCGCCGACACTGTTTTCGACCCAAGCCGGCGAAAATCGAGCTCCTGGAGACGCGACTGGGCCGTTTTTTCGGCGCCGGCGCAAAAAAATCACCTGGGAAGGCCTTCCTGAGGACGCGGCTGAAGATGCCTTAAGAGGCCTTGCTGGGGCGCGGCTGGAGATGCCCTAAGATCCTTCTTCCGACGGAACTCCTTCAGCTATTTCGCACGAACGGGATGCAGTAAACACACGACGAAATACAGACGGACTTCCCACTGTTAAGTACTGCTGCTTCTGCGTTTCTTCAGTTTTTATTTACACTATTATCGACAGCATCACTGTTAATTACTGTTCTACTTATAAAAAGTTACAGGGTAACATTGCGCTTTTCAACTGCAACCTTATCGACAGCATCACTGTGAACTACTTACTCCGTTACAGAATATCAGAAGTTCTAGGTTTAACCTTAAGTAAAACATCTTTTAACTTTGATCGAGAATTTATAGAAAAATGTATTAACATCTACCACATCAACCATATAGTACATGTTTTTGACGTTGATATATTTTTCTAAAATCTTTGTCAAGCTGAAAGACGTTTTGAACAAACTGATTAGTGAACACACACAAACAAGTTAATGTTACAATTGACAGTAGCATGAGCTCAAATGAGAGTGCAACGACAACATTACAGCACGGTCCCACACGAGTTCCACAAATGCGGCGAAAATCGAGAAATACAAGTTTTTTCACATCTTACAACTTCGACACACAACTGAAACTTTTTCTTTTTTTTCCCCTGAGATGGAAACCAAGATGCATCTGATGCAATATATGGCTGAGTTCTTGGTTTACATGGCGATCGATATGGAATTGGTGCGGCAATCGGCTCCAGAGATCAACAACGGTGTTTTCGCTTTTCTTTTTCTAAGTTTCTACAGAAGATACACAGAGCTTCTTAGTTCGCAAGATAATAATGCTCATCACTGGAAACAAGATGGCCACAAACCACAAACTTCAGTGAAAGGTGAGAAACAGAGGGAGTGAACTCACTATACATGTAGACAGTGCTGTTGCTCCCCAAGAGAAGCAGGAATGCAATGCGAGCGCTGGGAAATTTGGCCACTGCAGGTATGAGATCTAGAGGTACTTGGACAGCCAAGGAAGATCTGGGGACTCCTTGAGTGCAAAGGTCACATCGTCGCTGCCAAGCAACAAAATGAAAGGATTAGTATATGAGAAAAGAGGTTTAACCAGACAATAATACTAGCTTCCAACTGTCCTGTGGATCTAGGGTTTTGGTTCAGATGGGTAAAAGGGGAAAAGCCTCCTTATCCTTGTTCGATGCAAATTGGGTATCAAATTTTATCTGTGAATCAAAATTTTAACTAATCCCAGAACTATCAGAACCTGCTTCATTTCTTCGTATATCTGGCCGGTGGCCATAGCTTATGCATTGGGCTCTTGGCCCATCCGCGTAGCAAACTCATACTTATTAAAAATTAAATAGCTGCTGCGACTCTTGGCCCATCCGCGTAGCAAACTCATACTTATTAAAAAATTAAATAGCTGCTGAGGAAGGATGTTGGTCTTCAGACTGTTCTGTAATGCCTGTTTGGAAGGGCAATGTAGTTTTTGCAAGCTAACCTTGGGTAGTTGAGCTGCAGCTTCTGCAACTTATGTTTGGTGCCTTCCTCGCAGAGAACGATCTTGCTCTCACCAAGCTTGCAACTGTAAGAGAAACTTAGAACAATTTGTTTCTAGACAACACTAAACTAGAACAGCATTTTGCATAGATAATAGAGAATTGAGCATTGGGGGCTAAAGGGTTTTGCCTTTTTCAAATTGTAGATGAACCATAGGTAGGAAAATAATGAGAATGATGGAATGTATGCGGATAACATAGCTACGGTTAGGTAGTCTAATCCTACCATAGGATCATGGAAACATAATAAAAAAATATGGCAACATTGATTCCTACCTATGCAACCTAAAAAGTATGTGATGAAAGCATTGTTTACTAAGTAGTTTCCATGTAACAAATTCTGTGCAAGTAACCTTTTTGTGTGGTGGAAATGAGTCCTACAACAAGCTAGGATCAGACAAGAGATGTAATCATTTCCCCAAAGAATTTGCAGCTGATTAAATTAAATGCGGTAATTGCCCAGCAGTAAGACCGACTAGACCGGCTTATACTTCTTTACTAAAAAAACAGCAAAATCAAGATTGCCATTATAAATTACTAACCATGATTGTCTTTCTTCAATACCTACATAAAGGGCCAAACAAAGCAAGGTAGAAAAACTGAAGTGCTTGAACGAAACAGAGCACCAGTGTGATTTTGTAGTGTTCACATGACCTTTAGCACTTTTCTTTTGCATTGTACAATCAACCTATCATATATCTTTCGCTTACACGGAATTTGGTGGCATATATTAGTAAAAGGAAACAAGAGTAGTTAGGTTGGGGGAAACACAAACATGCACTATACCCACCAGTGTGTGCCTACAACAACGATATCCCTGAAGTTCAAAGGAAATGGCATTTACAATCATGGCATGACTTCTCATGGAACAAGAAAATGACAACGGGACTACATTTGTAACAGTGCACCTA